AATACGCAAAAGCATGCTATGAAGCACTGTCAAGAGCATGCCAAGTCAAACAGGTGGCGAAATAATCTCAACCGTAAAGCCATGTTGGCCAAATCAGAAGCCTGAAAAAGTTTCCAGTAGGTGGAGATAACAGCGCAGGCTCCGACGTCACAAGCCAAAATCTCCGGTTTCGCTGTCTACACGATAACACTGCAACCAGAGTTTTGGAAAATCTTCACCCTGGCAGGAGTTTTCAAAAATGTTAGGTTTCAGTGACCTGGTGCTGTGTTTGTGTGTGGACGAACGGCCAAACCGCATAGAAAAAGCTGCGGTTTTGAAAATACCCGCGTTCGTGTGGACAGGGCCCTAGTTTTCCTGAGTTGCCTGATTATGTCATTCAGTTCACCTGTTGTCTGTTAATCATCTCATTAGTTCCCTTTGTTTGGTTCATGCTTATAAGTCCTCAGTTCTCCCTTAGTCCATTCTCCGTCTATGTTAAGTTGGTTTATGTGCCTGTTCTCCTGGATTTATCTGATTAACCCTTATGCCGAGTTCACACTGCACAATTTTAGCCCGATTTTTCACTCGCCGACAGGTTTTGTGAAATCGCAGACAAATGCCTGAAATCGGAGGCAAATCGGTGCTAGTTCACGCGAGTGACAATCACACAGTGTGAATAATCAAAGACGCGATCTGAGGGAATCGCCGACGCGTCGCCGACACCCGTGAAATATTTGGCATGCTAAATATCTGGAGCTGTCTGCGATTCACAATCACGCTGTGTGAAATGAGTTCTGACTGAAAAACACATCGGCGATGACCTACAGCCAATGAGAGACCAAGATACAGGGAAGCGGGAAGTTCGGGGAGGAGTTATATGAAATGTAGTTTGCGGACCAGTGTTGCCAAATCCGTGATTGCCGCCGGTTGTTTTTTATGTCAGCAGGTTGAAGTGACCCCAATAACGTGATCTTTAGGCCCTGGAATGTGAATTGTACCAGGAGAACCCCGCCAAAAAAATGTATATTTTACCCCCGAATGCGATTTTTACTGGGGGATTCCTCGAAAGCAATTGGGCTATTTTCAGGTTAGTTTTGAGTAGTAATTGGGCGGGTTTTGTAGCGAAAACCTGGCAAACCTGCACCAGACAGAGCTGTCGGCGATTCTTCCTATTGTAAAGTCATGCAGTGTGTAACCTCCTGTCGTCGTTCCATCATGCAGTGTGAACACAGCAACAACTGAATGCTACCCCAGATAGTTGTTTGGTGTGAAACCAACAGTGATGCGACGTCTTTGAAAATCGTGCAGTGTGAACTCGGCATTAGTCTTCATCCGTTCTCCGTCTATGTCAAGTTGATCTCCGTCTTCGTGCAGTTTGTATCACCAACACACATATTTCCACTATTACACAATTGGTACTCTTATTAATAATATATCAAATAAATGCATGCAGCCTTATCGATCTATCTATCTATCTATCTACACATACATTTTCTTATTCTCATAGGAGACATCTGCTAAAAATATACATACAAACATAACTATATATCTTTTTAACCTATTACAATTATCTGTTCTTCATAACATTAAAATAAAACTGCCGTCATAACAATCATCATCTTAAACACATTCTGACCATGCCATTCTGTAAACTTCCTCCACCATGTGTGTCTATGAATACTCTCCATATATGTATGTTGCACAGTGATAATCAGGCCTTACATGGCAGCCTGAGGTTGGACTCCTGCACAGACCTGTCTGAGAAGAGAAGCACACTCAGTCTCCTGTGTAAACACAACAGCGGGAGAGGAATGCTCAAGCTGGGAGTTAGAGAGGGCTTACTGCAGGACAACAGCTTAGGGACACCCATCGGTGCAGCTTAAATCAACAGTATGTTAGAGCTGAGATGAACATGTGTATGGGTCATAAATGTATTGATCTGGAAGGATGATTGTGGTCCTGTTTACACCAGGTATTAACATCCATCTTGGGCAATCACAAGTGGTCAGCCTAAATGCATTGCTGTTTACACCTGGTAATAACATGCATCTCAAACGCGTCTCTTGTGACCACTTGTAATCAGATTTTGAGGCTCCCTCTGTACTCATAACTACATTACAGTACATCACGTTTTGCATCAGTGTGTTGTGTTACTGAGTTGATAAAGCACAAAAAAAGTGCACAATTTCTCATATACTGTACAGTATCTAAGCACAAATAAATGAATTTTATGTTGAAGTGGAATTCTCATTTATTTTAGTTCATATACGTGTTTTTCCAAATTTTGGTGTTTTGTCCAAAATGTGTTATTTTCTTTTAAAATATTATAATATAAGAAAACTATAATTATTTTTAGACAGCTTTTGACTGTTTTCTTGATGGATTTATTACAAACATGGTGGATTTATTACAAACGTTTTGCTTCACAAGACATTATTTGATGGACTGGAGTTTGCAGCAAGGGATGTAATGCTCAATTTCTCCAAATCTATTCAGATGAAGAAACAAACTCATCTACATATTGAATGGCATAAGGGTAAATTTTCAGCACAATTTTCATTTTTTGAGTGAAAATATATGAAAGAATATACAATTACAATAAAAAAAAAGAGAAAATCAAAAAAATATTTCACTGACTATAACACTCAAAAATCATGTTCATGTTATTTTCATAATCAATGTGAACTGTACAACTATGTAATAGCAATTATATACTGAATGAATGAATAAATAAATATAAAAATTAATAGCAATATAGTATATTGCATGAATGAATATAAACATAAGTAAAGATTAGTTGAGTCCTAATGAGTATGAAAATATAAATAAAATATTTAAGTGATATTATGTTCCTGCCCATTTAAGGGTGAATGTGGTCAAGTGCTTGTTTTGGTTTATATGCCTGTGTACACAATCCTGCATTCTGCATTGCATTTGTAATGATCCAACTCCATTTACTTGATGAATGAAGTAAACACATACAGCATTGTACTTGAGAGCTCGGGCAAAGGAAACCAACTCACATTTGATTCCTTGCGAAGATGTTTTATTCCCTGTGAGTTCAGTGCAATTATTTTCCACAGAAGCAAACTCATCTCCTCTGGATATGTATCTGTATATTACATTGACTCCTGGGTTGGAGCAAAATGAATGTTCCCTTTTCCCTTTCATCCGACCATAACCCTGCAGCCAAAATTGCATTAAATATTCCTTTTATATCTTCACGTTCGGAGGGCAGTCCCTTGTAATTGCTTGGCTGCACTGTATGCCAATACTAATAAAACTAACTAATAAAAACACACACACACACACACACACACACACACATAAACTCTGATTTCTGGTCATGCTGGAACAGATCCTGGGAGAAATGCATTCTGTATTCATTACAATGACACCGTGAGGACATGCCTAGAATTTAGTATGCTCGAAAAACATCATCTGGGAAAAACAGTTCAGAGAGTGTACAATATATTGGCAAACAAGATGCCTGAGGCGGCCATAAATATTTAAGAGCTTTTTACATTTAGAAACAGCAAAGTGAATAGTTGTATTCTTGAATACTTCAGTCAGATGAGGGGTCTTATCAGGGACAGGTCCATACCTGGCTGTTTCATTACTCACAGCTGCACACATGAATGTCTCGGCAAAATGAAAAGAGAATGAATAAAAAGGCAGTATGTACACACTACTGATAATTAATATCGTCCTGCAAAGCTGCCTACCACTAGAATGTATAGAATTTCCTGTAAGTGTGGATGCTAGAGGAGGCAAGCGTGGCGATAGATTAGTTGTGCTCAGGGGCGGACTGGCCATCTGGACGTTCTGGAGAAGTCCAGAACGGCCGTCCATCCGACAGCCGTCGGCCTGTGGCTGGTTCATCGTCAAAGAAAAAGTGTCAGATTAAGTGACATTGACGGCCGACAAAAGGGGGCACTAATGCAATCTATTTTTGCTTATAAGAAACCGAAACTGACGCGAAGAAGAGTGGGCTTGTGATGGCAAGCAAAAGACGTGAAGATAAAAGCGGTTGGGAGAAGCTAAAAGGAAAAAAAGTGAACAGTTACATCAGGTTACCTTTGCCTGCCTCTCTCACTATACACAGCATGTAGCCTATAGCACTATAGCACTATATCCGAGCATCCACTGCTATTTATCACTCTGCATTATCTGGCATGAATATTCCATTCGTTCATAACGAGACAGCAGCGATTCTACAACGGGTTACATTTGAGAGCTATTGGGTTAGAAAATAGAGTAAATGAAGTAGCCTATAAGGTGATTAGTCTGATTAACATGGCACACACACACACACACTGAGAGATATGAATACTCAAAGAATTGAGTTGAATTGAAGAATTCTTTTGTTTCAGGTTTCTAGATTCTAGGTTTATGTTTATCACTGTCATATACATTCTGCATTCTGCTCTTTTTATGTAGATTTTAAGTATTTTAATTCATACAATAATAAATTTGTTTTAATCCTCTGTTGAAAAAAAAAATAGAAAGCATCACAATTTGTAATGGTTTTAATGGTTATAACGAAAATTTTATTGGTTTTAATGAAAACTGTAATGGCGCCTGTTGGTCTCTACTGGTAATTGGTCACCTTCTATTCATGGCTTTTGTTAAAGCCACTAAATCCTAATGTAATATGTCCCAAAACACAATACAGGAAACTATTATTTAATGGTTTTAATGGTTAAAAGTTGATGGTTTGTAATGTTTGTAATGGTATTTGTAGTGGAAATCATTCAAATTTTTGTGATGGTTTCTATTGTTTTTGTCAGCAGGGTCACCATGGGTTTTGTAATAGTATTTGCCATAAATGCGATAGGATGTCTGTAATATTGTGAGATAGTAGCAACTGTTTGTAGTTGTGGTGGGCCTATTTGGGAGAAACTCCAGGGCTGTTTTTTACTCCCAGTCCGTCCCTGGTTGTGCTGGTGTATTACTGGTAGGCGCTTAGTGGCTTGGTGGGGTGTCATAAGCAAGATCAGCATAATATACTTAAACATGAACATGAACATACTGTTTCAGCCAAAGAAAAACGATTTATTTTTCTTGAAACAAAAACTGATCATTACTCTATTAATGAATGTGATGTAATGCTACATTTCTGCAAATCTGTTACAATGAAGAAACAAACTTTTCTACAGGATGGCCTGAGGTACATTTTCAGCAAATTCTCATTTTTGGGTGAACTATTCCTTTGAGTACTATTTTAGTGAAATCACATTCAGTCGAGTGCCATTCTGGCATTTACGGTAACAGTTACCTTTTTAACATCCAATAAATTTCAAATAAAGTTCCATTATATTTGGTCATTTTGTTTGACTTGTAAATGTCACCTTACAGAAGAAACATGGTTTGTGAATGACAATTCATGTTGACTTTAAGTGATTATGATTATTAATAAAATTAAAATGTTCAATGTGTGACAGAAACCTAATGTTATATGGTAGAAATGTGTTGCCATTGGGCTTCCTAATAAATGTCTAACAGCTTACATGTGGCCTATAATGGATAAAAGTCTATAATTTCTCACAGTGCATTCATAGAGAGGTCGTCACATCACTTTACTCTTGGCATTCCCACTCGACTACACATCAGTAGGCTGATCGCTGCTTATTTGCATAAAGTCTGCTCAACTTTTTCCACATCGCCAACAGTCGCTGTCACTCATGTCATCTCACATCACCAGCTCGCTTCGAAAATTAATTCATTCCAGTCGCTTTGTCACTTCTGTCACTTTTGAGATAATTTCCCTGTTTATAATTTCCAAATGGTTCAGTTGGCGCCATCTCATTAACAGCCACTGAAGAGGTTACGAAAAAAAACAACAACAGCAGTTTCTGGCACTACAATGAAAATGTAGCTGTTTCAAATGGAGAAAAATTAAGATCTGGTCTCAGGATTGGCTTAACCAAATTTATGTTTCAGATTTTATTAAAAGTGAAGTATGCAATATCTTTGAAGCCAAATATTTTCTTCTATTCCAGTTTAATAGGCAGAGACATAAGTACTCCATTCCTAGGCTGATTTCCCAGATACCTGTAAACACTGTAGCTCAGTGGTGCCTTCAAAACATTGCTGTTTGTTTTGGGATCCGGGCCAGACTGACACAGCAACACTGTCCCAACCAATGGCACAACATTAAGGTGGAGCTAGCAGTTCGCCTGGCCAATGGGAAATGATGGGTGTGTTCCTGTTTAAAAACAATACTTATTTTTGCAACTCTGTATGGAGCATAAACTACACCCTTCACCTTTAAATTTGGCAGTAGAACTACAAGTGTAATCTTTAAGAATGATGAATGTCTACTCTATGCATCATTTCAGCACAGTTAGATGCTAAGAGAAGTACACATATTATAGTGAACACAGACCAGAAGTCAACTGCTGACAGCCACTCAAAACCAAGTGTGTCACTACAATAATACACAGTACATCACACTCTTTGCTGCATATTTTTTGTTCCAGAAAGGCATTCAGGTGCACTTAAAATATCTGGTGACTATATCAAGTAAATATGAAAACACCAAACTCAAAAGTGCACTAATGTAGCAGTGTTGGGGAATAACTAACCAAAGTACTAAGAGCAGCTCAGTTTTTATAGTAGTTATATAAGTAGTTAATACTAGCTCCATAAAACACTACATTGCTATATTTTCTGTCATATTTTATTGCCCCCAGCAATAGTTGTGTGAAAAAAAAAAACATGTTTTATTATAAGAATATAATAAAACATGCTTGCCTAAAATGTTCTCCGTCTTTCATTGGGAAGCATCTCCATCTCTAGCATTGGGATGTCAGATTGATTTAAGTGAATCTGTTCATTTGCATGGTTCATGTAAAAAAATTATTAATTGAAGTCCATGTACAGTTCTGTAGCAAAATATTTAGTTAAATGCTGTCATTTCAAAGTAACTTCCCAAGCACTGATGTAGCACAATGCTATGCTTACATTACATTACAGAGAACGAGAGCCAGAGAAAAATAAAGGAAGCATTCCTATTACTGAGGACATGCACACCACAGTTTCCCCTCAAGTGTGAATCAATTAAATTTTAAATTATATACAACTTTAATGTGGACTGTGAGAGGTACAGAGCTCTGATCCCAAACCAGCAATAATAATTCCTTGTCTCTGAAGCGTTCCCCTGAGATACTTTAAATCTACAAACCTGAGCGAATAAACTCTCGGCTACTTAAAATGTGTTTTTTTTTATGCTAACTCTTCCCCGTGGAGAGCATTATCTTAAGGCTATTATGTATTTCTCTCACTACTATAATGTGATGATAACTAGCAGGAGCTTCCACGGGGAGATGTTTGAGTTATCTTGAGTGCCTGACAGGGAGATGATAGTGTTATATGACTTTGGTTTGTGGTCCTGAATTCCCAACACATTCCCAACAAAATAAAATACCTCACACCAGGTTTTTAAGCTGCAGCCATGGCTTATTAGGATAAAACATATGGCGTATGCTGCTGCGTTCTGATGGCTGTCTACAACAATATATGGGTGGTCTATCAATAAAGGAAAAGGCATCAAAGAAAACTAGGAAACCCATGAGGACCTGGACAGGTATGATATTGCCTCGCTGAACTGTACCATACAATAAATGGGTTTCATGCAAAAGACGACAATCATTGACTGACAACCATGAAATATGAACTATCTGGATCATAAAGTCATCAACCTACCAATAAGACTAATAACCTCTTCTCAAACAGCAAATGCTGGAAATTTATCTCAGGAAATTTTTAGCAGCACTTAAGAAAAATCTTTGAAATGCTTTGAAATGAAAATGCACATTCAAATGGGACTGATCTGGTGTCATACATTAAATGATTCAGAAGGGACCACTTCATATTTACACTGAGTATTTAACACAAATTATTAGGCAAAGCATTTCAGAGTCAAATATTCTGATCATAATTATGGCCTTTTTCTGAAATGATTTCTGAAGGGCCAGGTGACACTGAAGACTGGAGTAATGACTGCTTAAAATTCAGTTTGCCATCACAGGAATAAATTACATTTTAAATATATTTTAAAAACAGATATTTTAAACTGTAATAATATTTCACAGCATTATTGTTTTTACTCTACTTTTGATTAAATACATTCTGCCTTGGTGAGCATATACATAAGAGACCTCCAAAAACATCAAAAAAAATCTTACACAGGCCAAATGTTTGGACAGCAGTGTAAGTTTATCAAGAAATTATTTTCTGTTCAACATGTTCAGAAGTGCATCTCCTTCCTTTTTTTTATAATGTGCCAAATACTTATTATTCAAATGTTACTTATTAAATCAACAATTCACTTCAATTAATGAATGAATTGAAATGTTGGGATGGTTACAAAATGATTTTCAGCTCCATTTATCAAACTGTCTCCACAGTCAGTCAAAAAGTCATACAGTCTTGACAAAATAATCATATTTGGCATATCACACATGTATTAAATGTAGTATCCATTTTTTCTGGTGTTCCTAGCCACTAAAATGACCTACTCAAAATGAGAGAAATTATCAAAAAATCTCAAAGAATTACACTTGTTTGATGTAACTGACATATCATGGTTGTGATAAAAAATTAAGCATATTTATTTAAAACTGTTAAAAACCCTGAACAAGGCCTGTGTGATGCAGATAAATAAAGGAAGATGAAGAAGACGACTGACTTTGACTTTTTAAATGTTTTCATTAATATCTGACAGAAAAAAATGCCAAACAGTCACCTGAGGAAAAAAAACATTCTTGTGATCATAATTCATTTCAAAGTGAAAATAATTTTTTTTAATCTAATAGCAGGTAAAAGTCGTGGGACATGTTTTGTTCCACATGTCTCAAGAACTGCAGTAGTGATGGAGATGTTTAATAACGACAGTTTGCAAAGTAGAGCAGGAAGGGCATGTCATGGCACAATGTAAAAAATAACCAGGAATAAAAAAAAAATACAATAACAACTGGAAGCTAGAAATCATTCCGGTGGAATTATGTTCCACCTCCTCAACCGACTGCACTCCTCAATCTGCACGTCGGCCTGACAAATTACTCTCTCACCAGCTCTATTCTGATTACGGCCTGATTACAGTCTGATGAGAAATACACAACTGCCAAATACAATAACAGGGCGCAGACATATGCCTATCAGGACTTAATTTGTTAGACATTTGGCAGAGGCGGTTAACCTTCTGAGAATGATGAAGGATGGGGTATCCAAACTTTGCAGAGTCTGATCCCACAGAAATCCTAATCACACCGAATTCTGTCCTCTAGCTAATAAAAAACCTTCATGCACAGCTCAAATGGAGGCTCAACTAGCCTGCAATTTTTAAGCCAAGTTTAAGGACTTGTGCTGGACTTTGTGTGGGGCTTGCAACTCAAAGAAACCTGAACCCTGAAAAATGATATGTCGCTCCCCAAGCCCCCAAGGCACTGATAGACCTGAAAATGGAAAAGCTCTTGAACTGAGTGAGCCAATCGGTGTCATTCATCCAGACACTAGAGTTGAGGCTCAGGCACCACGAGCCAATTTGGGATGCGATGGATCAATAATTCTGTCAGGGAAACAGCAGAATAGGGAGGGGACGGCTACAGAAGAAGGGCATGGAGTCTTTCAAAGATGTTGGAAAAAATATTCTCCCAAGTTTGCATATCTCTCTTTACTGTCCAAATGGTTTGGCTTAATTTAAGGTTCCAAAATGAATCGAAAATTAAAAGTGCAATATGCAAAATCTTTTCTTTTTTTCTGTAAAATAAGCCATATTTTTTATCATCTGAAACACGCCATGACTTATATTCCAAAATGAATTATATTAAGCAATTACCATCAAGTACACAGAACTTGCACAAAGTGCAAATATTTTATAATTTTATATATCTTATGTTTCTCATTTCTATTCTGTTCTGAAATCCTGACTGTGCTGCAATATGTGAAAATATTATTATTGTATTTTGAATAAATAAATAAATACTTACTTACGGAGACCCTATCAAGCAGACAATTATAATTTGCTGATGTCATTCACTATTCAATAAAAAAAATATTGTGTTTTTGCTTTCAGGAATTTGGATTTGTTTGTTTCTAAAAAGATACTGAACAAAATACTACATATAATTGCTAAAGTAAATATCTTCTGAAAGAAGTTGTTTCTTTAGTAAAGAAGTAACTTTTTTGGCTGAAATAAAGATGTATTATTCCTACTAATTCGACTTGGCTTCATGAATGTCCCTCTATTACAGAACTTAACTGGGAAGAGCATATGTTGCAGTTTCAGCACGGAAAGCTTCTTCCCAGTTTCAATCGAGGAAGTAAAGAGCAGTGAACCATACAGGCTGATCAAAGCAGAGCTGCATTCACAATAAATCACATTTAACTGAGTGTATAATGATGGCTAATCTAAATGTTTCTTCCTGTGGAAAACTGCATGGACCATAGACAGGTAATTGCTGGAGACACATCATAAATACTTCAGAGTGCAGACAAAACCCAGAAGCCTCAGGTATGTCATTTAAACAAATGTTTTCCGCTTAAATTGTCTCTTTAGGGCATTTTTTTTTGTTAGCACTAGTCTGAAAAGTGACCAAAAAAAACATTTTCAAAGAAAACCACTAACATTTATTTTTTAAGCTGTAATGTTAATATGCCATATGGTTAAGTAATTCAAGGCATTTATGCTAGAATCAGCTCTGTAACTGTGTGCGGGCATGTTTTGAGGGTGTATGAGGCTGTACATGAGCTGTGACCTTGTTCGATCCGCCTAAAAAAACAGGCATCCTGGAATGGTACGAATGTAGCGGTGTGAACGCACCACATCAACAGCTAATGTTTCTGGAAGAAATATTAGAGGGGAGGAAAGAGCTGTACAGGAAAGTGGCATAATCAATTCTTGGTTTGGATGGGTCTAGGCACCTAAAACATACACAAACATGCAAAGATGGAATTTATGCCTCAAGTTAATGAAAAATAATAAACAAGGAACACCAAGAATGGTTTTATATAAAACTGCACCACAGCAACATGACGAAAAAGCATCAGTCTACATCACCACCCAATTACATTTCTATTTCAGAAATTACATTTTTGTTTTAGTGGTATCCAAAAGCATTGCGTAATGCTGATGACAATGTTTCAGTTACTTTCATTTACCAATGTTCCTCATTAAGGAACCAAGAGAATTAAGGACATCTTAAATTTCACATCATCAGATCCATAACCCAAACAATACAATCAGAAGGCCTGGTCATGCCAAGGGGCCAAAGTCAGGCTGGTTACCATGGCCAAGTTTGCCCCTACTGATACAGCAGCATCTGACTCCATTAAAAGCCATCCAAAAATAGCCGTGTATTCCAACAAAACAACATTTTTTGTAAACAATATATGAATCAGGAATATATCCGTGTCAAATCGGTCACTGGATATTTAATTGTGTATCGTCTTTTCCCCAACTTTTACATTTAGATGACCTCTTCCATCATCTAACAATTCATCTATAAAATGCTAATAATTTTGTAACATAAAAAACATATAACCATAAAACCTTGAGGCTTTAACCTGCCATGTAAAAATTATGACAGAAAAATACTATTACTGTATTGTAAAAAAAAATATATATGATTATTATTATTAATAATAATAATAATAATAATAATCAAATATTTAGGTTGGACATACTTTAAAATGCTAATAATTTAACTTACAATCTGAAAATTAATATAAATTTAATATATTGTACATCATACATACATATTTTATTTACTGTACATTATGTTATGACATGTTGTAGGATTAAAGTGACTGCTTTTAGTTATTTATTTAGAATTTTTTTTTATTATAGAATTGTAATATTGGCTACAACATGAAAATAATTATTGTTTATCACATCGGCCAGAATTGTAATTTTGGTGCATCCCTAATCAAAGTAAATGTTTTGCAACTGACTATGGAATAAAAAATACGGGGTGTCTATTTACATTTAGTTAAAAGTGACTCAAAATCATCAACTCCGGTGGCGCAGATGGATAAGTGCGTGTTGTTGGTTTTTTGACGTGATCGACCCGGGTTCGATCCCATCTTGTATTTTTTATTCCATAGTAAGGGCAATTCATGCCCTTAATCCCTCCCTTTGAAACAAAACCATACCTTTTTTTCTCCATCCCTTTAAGTCCAACGTTAACCAGTCTGAAAAACACTACAACACCAATCACGGTATGAAATGTCACATTGCTTTAATAAGCATTTCTAAAACATGCTCTCTTTGGCCCGCATGGTTATTTCCACTCGCTTGACCTTTAACGGGTTTAAAGGTAGTATCTAATGAGTTTGGCTCCATGCAAATGTAACACGAGGTGTGTCAGGTTTAGTGTGACGCTCAGTCATCAGGACGGGCAATGAATAATAGAGCAGCGTAGTGTGAAAGGGAAGGATTTCATGCTCAGCAATTTAAGAGCATCAATTACACCATAGTGGAAGAAACCACACATGCATTGTGAGATTTTGTTAGAATCCTTTAAAGCATGAGCTGAAATGTAACAGCTGTGTTGATCTGGTATGCTAGGGAGTTTCATCTATATGCGCAACAGATTATTACAAGAAAACAGAAGGACTGCAAGGTCTCTATTTTAATGAAGCATTCAGATCTCAGTGGAATTGGCTATTTTTGCTTTTTTTTCTGTGTAATCTGACTATCATCAACAATTATTATTGTCAACTATTATCTCCTTTAGATTTTGACCTTACATGACTTCAAATTATATTGTCTGACGACATTTTGTAAAATTCTGATTAGTTCTTCAGATGTTTGTCAGAAAGTCACTGAAATGTGTGAGGAGCTATTAAAAATGTTATTACAAAATGCCGGTTAAAATGTGTATATACGTATACTTTAATATTTTAAACCTTTTATTTTCAAAAGTTCAAAAGGGGTCAGTATTCTTTTTTAATTAATGCTTTTATTCAGCAAGGACACATTAAATTGGTAAAGTGGCAGTAAGGACATATATGATATTGCTAAATATTCCTATTTCAAATCAATTCTTATTTTAAACTGTCTATTCATCAAAGTTAGCTGAAAAAAAATGTATCATGGTTTTTACAAAAATATTAAGTGGCACAACTATTTTTAACGTTCAACACAGGCTGCTGAAAATTCAGCTTTGTCATCATCCTTTCTGTCGGGAGAGAGAGAAGCCGCAGCGTGTGAACGCGCCGCCATCTTTAATGAACAGTATATATACAGTATATACTGTATATACACACATCATATCATATACACAACACAACAGTGATACTACTAATAATCATATAATTGATGTATGGAGTTTTGTGAGAAGAAATAATTAACAGATTAACCAATTATCAATAACTTTACATTTTCACATATCGGAAATGTCTCTTTTGACACCTATAGATACATATGCTGCAGTTCCCACCTCTAGTTTCTTTCTTCTTTCTCCCTCTCTCTTTTTCTCTCTGTGAAGGTGAGGATTGCATTCATGGGCATGTGCCTGAATTGGCTAATTAAGTTTAATGGGTCTGATCGTCTCTGAACACCGCAGATACACAGTCACCTGTGTCCGTACTATTTAAAATCTCATTTCCAAATCAGCCCTTATGTGTCCTTCCTCTTACAACAACTCACAGCGCATTGACTCGCCAGAAAGGTCTTACATTCACTTCATGGTGGTCTTGCAAGTACGAACTGTAATAATAGAAAAATAACAGCTGCTAAGTAGCTAAAAACCTTACAAGACATTTAAACTGTGAATTTGTGCAACTGAACTACTCATATGAACTTTCTAACCGTAATACTCTTGTTTACAGGACTAGTTCACTTCCATAATGAAAATTCTGTCATCATTTTACTCACCCTCCATTTGTTCCAAACCTGTATGAGTTTCTTTCTTCAGTTGAACACAAAAGAAGATTTATACATATATACATATTTGAGCTTTATTTTGAGATATTTGAGCACCATTGACTTCCATAGCAGGAAAAAAATACTATGGAAGTCAATGGTGCTCATCAACTGTTCGGATACCAACATTTCTCAAAATATCTTCTTTTGTGTTCAACTGAAGAAAGAAACTCATACAGGTTTGGAGCAAGTGGAGGGTGAGTAAATGATGACAGAATTTTCATTCTGGAAGTGAACTACTCCTTTAAGATGGAGGTTAAATCATGTATACAATGTCAGTTTGAATGAGGTTCGGATACTTGGCCTTTGCACTCAGACTAGTACAGATCTTACGGGAAATGAAGTGCACATTGCAGCCATCAATCCTTATGATTATGAAATCAACATGACCTCAGTGGCCAAGGGGACTGCTAACTGGATAACAGCATACCTTACACAGCAACCTACAGAAAAAAAAAAGGAGACTCCAAGGGCTATTTGATGGACGAGCTCTCCGGTCAGATGGGCCTTCTGAACCTCTGAAAGTCCCAACTAGCTGCTCACAAGAGGAAAGAGCGTGAACAACCACAGAACTGAATAAAGTGCAGACTTGAGTGACGAGGTAACACAATGTACTTGGGCTATTCCTGTTCTGCAGTACCTTGTGAAATCTTTAACTTAGAAAAAATGAATACGCTTGTGTTGTAATTTAGGGAAGTATTTCCATAATTAGCAGACCTTCAAAAATATGCTCTGCTCAGACTCAGGCACATAAACTTTATTAATTTCAACTTGATTATTTACACAATGGCAAGAAAATGTTTCTATCATGGTTAAGTGGATGAAACCAAACAGGATAGATGTTAATAATTTCTCAGTGAGGAATTAAAAGTCATCTTACATAAAGTCAATTAGATAGTTTTTTAATGATCTTTATATTTTTTAATATGACTTTAAAGCCTTATGCACAGTTTCTGCAAAACATAATGGAATACTTTAAAGTGAGAACCAACTAATACAACAAAAATAAAATAAAAATACTTTACATCAAATACTTGCTTGTGTTTAAGATTAGGGCTGCACGATTAATCGCATGCGATATTTAACGCGCATCTTGTCAGAAAGCCGGTTCAATGTGAAAACCCGCAGGTGATGGAGATTTACCGCTGATTACAGAACCGGCTTTACTGATAAGATGCGCATTAAATATCGCATGCGATTAATCGTGCAGCCCTATTTAAGATGCTGTTTTTTTCCACAAAAAAAGATGAAATTTCCAAGAAAAAACATCTATAACATAATTAACAATTAAAACAACATAGAAAACAAGGAAATACCTGGAATATGTCTTCATAAATCGCTAGCTTCTCATGTAAAAAGATGAAAATGCATGAGATTCATTAAAAGTTAATTAAAACAGCAACATGCACTCAGCAAAAAAAAAAAGTTTTCATTTATAATTTTTGTATTATATATATATATATACACACATTATTTACGATTTTAAAATTGTGTATTTACATATTTATGTAGTTATAAAAAAAAATCCACATTGTAAATGGACTTGGATGAGAAAAACTACAAATTAATTGAAAGATTTTCCATTAAGTTTGTCTTTAAAGAGGACACAAAATTCTAATATCTAAAAAAAAAATCACTTAAGAAATTGCTGTTCTTTATTACATCTACTAATTGTTATGTGAGATGAGAAGCCCGGATTCAAATACTGTAAAAGTAAGAATTTGTCTCCTGAGAATATATAAGCTTTTCTCTGTGAGGAAATAACACTAATTAAAACATTCCTGAAGTTCCCCTTAGGGATTGCTAAACAACATCTGTTTATATGTTAATCTTCTGTAATGATTCAGTCCACTGAAGGCGAGCGTAGTGAGAACCAATGTGCAGTTTTATTTACAAGTGATCCAAGCATCCAAACAATAAACGAAGACTTGACTAGACTTGACTTGAACAGACTTAACCAGGCATGAACAGACTAAACTCACTGACAGCAGATTACAACATCAATACACGACAAAGAACAATGGGAACATGAGGGCTATTTGTACCAAACAAGAAGGGTCACATGACACAAACCAACCAATGGACAAACAGAACTGAGAACCACATGACAAGACCATAAACCAATAAGCACAAGACACATGACTAAAACAACCAATCAGAACATAACACACAGACAAGGGAATCACATGACAGAACATGACTAAGGCCTAACTACAAAATAAAAGACATGAAAACAATGAACAAGAAACAAAACCCAACCACCACATTACATCTCCTTCCAACTGGTAGCATATGGACAAATGAGCAAATATGGCCTTTCAATGTTTATCAGTGATACGTCTGGGTATTAAGAACCGGTTCATAATCAGACTTTCTCCAATGCAACTATAAGTTAGACAAATGTTTATTTCATTGAAAAGTGCAAAAACTGTCTGGCCTCACACAGCAACATTGCCTCCACCAATCATTGGCCTGTCATAATGAACATCTTAAACAACTCTGAGGTGTCTCTTGAGTAATTGCTTGACATGAGACGATCTGTAAGAGTAATATCAAACACAGCATCTATGTGACATCCAGATGGGTTTCTTGTAGTGTCTACCATAAACACCATCCCTCCCTTCACTTCCCTCCCAATGATTAATCATTACTGCCCTGCAGGAACAAGCTATCATCTGAAGAAAATGGATGGACTGGTTGTTAAAGAATATGAAAATACATTAAAATATGCATTAGCACACTGTCAGACAAAGAACTTGCCTGCAGACATGAGCTGTGTAAAAAAATATGTTTTTTTTCTTCCATAGTGACAAAGTTCGATGTGTATGATGTAGTACTAGTAAAGTTTTTTGGGTTTTTTTGAGCTCGACAGGCAGTGGTGACTATCAGCTGTTTTTGTACCTACAATATTTGTTCTTTAAAAAAAATACATTTGGAATGACAAACTAGCAAGTAAAAATTATTTTTGAGTGAATTATTCCTTTAATTGCAAAATTTGAGATGCACTGCATTAAGAAATATCAAATTGTAAGTGAGCTTATTACTTTTCTCTCTTTCCTCTCAGATTGAAAATTACATTTCAGTGAGTTAAGAAAGTTTTGGACTTTGAAGACTTTGCCAAGAAGGTACAAGATCCTTGACTCCCCCGCTGGCCCTGAGGGTCTTCACATTATCCCTTTATATTATCCACATTATTCCCAAAAACCCTCATTAAAACGTTTATACATGACTGCACACATCTCACCACCTACATATTTCTTATAAAGATCAATCGATTGAAAGAGCGAATGAAATTTTATATGGCTTTAACCATGCATTCATGATTGGATTGTATTTATATGTTGCTTGATCTTTAATTTTTACGAAATTTACATTTCCATTCAAAAGTTTGAGTTTGGGTTTGTTTGTTTTTTCAACAGTAAAGTGTGCTATGGTCACTAGGGCTGCATTTATTTGGTCAAAACAGCAGAAATTTGGGGCTAAAAACATTTAACTTTATTATCAATGTTAAAAACAGTTGTGCTGCTTAATATTTTTGTGGAAAATTTTTTTTTAGGATTCAAAGTTCAAAAGAACAGCATTTATTTGAAATATAAATATTTTTTATAACATCATACATGTCTTTACTGTCACTTTTGATCAATTTAATACATTATTGCTGAATAAAAGCATTAATTTCTAAACCAAAATTTTGAAGGGTAGTGTATATAATTTAAATGCATTAAAACTGTCTTTCTTTTTACTTTTTACTCTATCTAGGCCCACACTCTCAGATGGACCCAAAAAACACAAGGCAAAGGCTTTGAGACAGGCTGAAATGTGGCGGCAGCTCATTGAGATTCGCTCTGAACTCCTACATCATGCAGAAACAAAATCAAATGGGAAACCTGAACTCAATGGTACATTACATATTCCCTGCATTAATTTCCCTTTTCAATTAGTGAAACATTGCGATACCATTAAACCTAACATTATGAAGTGCCTTACTTCTCTTTCACGCTGTCTTTTTCTTTCCATCACTGTTCATTAAGAAGAATCCGAATCAGTTGTTTCCTGTCAGCACAAAAAGAGCGAGCAAGTGTGTGCTACAGAAAGAGAGAGAAAGAAATATGCTGCGGTCTTCAAAAACTGTAGGAATGGTGCTTCCTTAGACACTTTCCTTCAAAGGATTTCCTCATTATATGGTGAATGAAGAGTATTAATAATAGAATATGAAGTTTCATCACTCCAAATCCTTTTATTAAATATTGACATTATTCAGAGCCAAAAGGACTTATTGAAAGAGAATATACATGTCTAAAAGGCTTGTTTCATGTTCAACAGCTTCAGGCGAGAGACATTATCAATAATAGAAGACAGTTTTTCTTACTCATTATGTTTTGTTTAATACTGACACAAAAAAGCTCCATACTGGGAAGTGTCCACAAAGCACGGGAAATCCAGCTTATACCAGCTTCTAGTGGTTTTTAGATGGCTAAACTTGATCATTTATTGTCATTAGCTGGTCAAAGCTAGTTTACAGCATGTCCTAACCAAGCGCAATGTAGTAAGTTTCCAGCCACAAGCAATTTGTCTGTCAACTAGGAATGCAACAATATTTCAATTCTATACTTTTTGGCTAATTAAATTAAATGCAACACTAAAAACTAAAATCAATTATTTAAATGCTATAAACGAATTTAGGTAAAACAACATTTTGATGTACAGAATGACACATGGATACTCTTTTTTTTTTTTTTTTAGACTTGCTCAAGAGTTACAACAAAGTCAACAAAAGTCTACTAAGAAAAAAAAATCATTCAATGTCTCCCATCAATCTTGTTCCAATATTCCCTATTGGACACTGTTACAAAGTAATAAATGTGCAAAAATGTCTAATGAAGTGATATTTGACAACACCAGCCTCTGACCTCTGCTCATCTGCCTACAGTGAGGCAGGTTTATTGATGAACATGACTGATGGATTAAACGGGGACCATTGAAATCTAATGACTGTGACATCCTGGCAGACGCCTAGAGTGCCTTAATGGAACTGAGACAGTTGCGTCAATCAAGTAATGAGGCAAATCAACATTCACAGAATTATGATCAGGAGGCGCCTGTGAGGTCTAGCGTGCGTAATGCTAACTGTCCCTCAAAAATGTGCAAAAGTCACATACAGTGAATAAGATAAAAGACAGGCCTGTGGGGCACATATTTCAATGCAATGACAAATGATTACTCAGATCTTCAACTTTATGTTAAGTTTCCATTTATAAAAGGTGAGGGGTTGACCAAAGGCAAACAATTTTTCAAAAAGCATTTTTTGTGCTGTATTTGCATAGTTCCGTTTAATTTTTAATTGTGTACTATACTCAATGTAAATACAGCATGTGCAATAAAATAAAATAAAATAAAATCCAAGAGTCCAATGAATGAATCCAAATTGGTCATTATGCCTTTTGGAGAAATTAATACTTTTATTTTACAATGATGCATTTAATTAATCAATAGTAACTTTTAAAGAAAAGAAAAATCTATTTCAAATAAATGACTTTCTTTTAAACCTAAAACTCAAACAATCCTAAAAAGAAATATTAAGCAGTAACTGTTTTCAACACTGATAATAATAACAAATGTTTCTTGGCGGCTTAAAATTCAGCTTTGACATCACAGGACTAAGTTACATTTTTAAATTGTAATAATATTTCACAATGTTGCAGTTTACTGTATTTCTGATCAAATAAATGCAGCTTTAAGAGCATAAGAGAATTCTTATAATAAAATGTTAAAAATCTTACTGACATCAAACAGATATTGTGCCCGTTTATTTTTTATAACAGGACTAGCAAACAACTTGAAATGTATGCCAAAAGCCTTTAAAGACTTTTAGTGAAAGCAAGATTAAAGCTTATCTGGCATCCTTTCAGGCCTCCAGTTAACACATTCTACACCACATTGGACATAGTACCAGGTTTTCAGGGACACAACCTTCGGCTCTGTTGGAGATGTTTCTCTCCGCTCTCAGAGTGCTGTACAATATGCTCTGTTTCAGATGCTGTCTGGTAGGGTGCCAGAGATGAAACGCTCACAAGCCATCACTATAAATGACACTGGGAGCCAATAGAAGCAAACACACATCTACTTCAGCCAGGCAGGCACATACATCATGATGGGTGATCTGTCAACAGCCAGAGCCACAGTTTAGACACGAGCATCTGCTTTATTAATATGAGCCTGAGCTAAACAGTGGGGTCTTAGAAATGGCTCATAGTCTCAAGATTAATAGCTTGAGAGACTGTCAAAGAGATGTAAATTACAAGATTCCAAAGGAATTATATAAACATGTCACTAAGCAAATGAACTGTTATTAATCCGTTTTTATCGGACATGATCAGTATTGAGTGAATACTGAGGATAGAATTGAATATGACGATACCAAAGGCTTTCAGACTAGTTCAGACTAGCTTGGACCTAACACACTGGACTATTTCGAGGCAGTCTGAAATAACAGTGGAAATGTGAAATTGGACAAAAAAAAAATTAAAAAAAGCTTAATTCAGATCAGAGCTGCATCAGTACAAAACCATTATTACCTAGTTCAAAGCTACTGGTGTAATACACTAAAGGTTGTAAGGCAGTATCAATGTGTAGGAAGAGTTCTCTAACATCTCTCATTAATATACTGACAGACTGCAGACTTTTAAGAGACTGTTCAATTACCAGGCATGATTGATTGCCAGTGCTGACTTAAGCCATTCCTACTAAATGGAAAGATTCAAACAACAAACAGGGTTACTAAGCAGCAATGCTGTGTGTCTCTACACTCCTAAGTGTTTTATAACCATCCTCTTTACCCCTGTGACATATGACTTTGCTCGACATTTACTGCTAGGGACTCTAAATTACCCACAATGCTTTTCTATAGGACAGGCACCCGACCTACGGGTGACAAAAGAGGACACTTTTCATGGTTAGTAGATTATGGAGGATGAATTCAATGAGGTGTAAACAGAATCAGCACACTTGGGCTTGTACGGCCTGTCAGGCACACAACAAATCACATC